CCTTGGGATAATAAGCCTGGTACATATCAATTTCTTTGTTAAATTGACAAACTCATGTAAGCTTGCAGCGTCCAGCGGGCATAACTGGACACTGCAAGACGGAGGTTCCTAGGGTTGTGTCTGGGACTAAAGATATTGGCTAGTGTCATTCAATTGCATAATCCAAGCAGCAGCTGGCCAAAAGGGGTCATTCATGTAGCTGGGAGCAGCTTACATGCTAGAGGCTGTGTGTGAACAACCCGGGCGATTGGGAGTTCTCACAATAGAGCATGGTATGGCTGGCTCCAGGGTCAAGGATTGGAGTGACCTAGCAGATCACTGGTCCAGATAACACCAGGGAAAAGTCACATCCTCCACACTAGAATTAAAAAAAAAAAAGGGAAACCCCTCTCATCTTCAAACGTTATGAATCCCTGTCTTATGAAAGTGAGAGAGCCACAATATTGTTTAAAATGTCCAAACATGCTCTGAGCAATCAACTATAACCAAAGAATTCACGCAGCTGTTTAAGCATGATCTCCAAACAACCCCTTCCACCTCCTCAATCACTTTGTGAAGAAATTTTGTGAAAGAAACTGTGAGATGACTATAGTGACTTAAAAATGCATACATTGGAAGATCTGGAAGACAGCTGGGCACAGATGTTGTTTATCTTGTCTACAATCTAAGTGTGAAAACATTCTCAGGATTCTGCATGCTGTTACTAGTCTCTTAGGATTTTAGAAGCAGTTAGTAGTTTGGAAAAAGGGCTCTGGTTCATTATATAAAGTTTGAATAATATCTTTTCCTACTTCTCCTCTGACTTCCCCAATGGCATACAGAAAACTATTCACAAGTGATGGAGGAACCTCAGGAGGTTTAGAGGTTTATCTGGAATCTCCCCAAAATGCCTCAATGCTTCTCTAAAGCTTTTCCAAACGTACTATAATTATTTTTACCCTTTTCTCTCTCAATTCTGATTACTGTCTTTCAATTTCATTCCTCCCAACCCAACTGTTGGAGCTTCCTGCAGCAGACAGCAGCTTCCTGTCTTTCTTTCCTGTTCAGCTACTCTATTTTGTGGAAGAATAGAGCATCTTGATGAGCCCAAGGACCAGACTGCTAGCCTAAACAGGATATTATGTGGGCTGTACAAGTCATTTTTGCATGCCAAAAAAGCAATCAGTAGAGCTGGTTAAAAAAAATGCTATATATTTATTTTTAAAAAATTTGAACAAAACAAAACAGAATGGTTTTGTTTGAAACTTTTCTGTTGAATCTCAGTTTTTTTTAACACAAAAAACTTTTTCACTTTTTGAGTTTTAGCTTTTGAGTTAGTTCCAGCGCTCCCTTTTTATCTCTTGCAAAATTGGGGCTTGGGGAGTGAAGGGGGAAAATCTGAACATCCAAACATTTTTGGGTTTTGTTTTTTCAGTGAAAAACAGGAAAATTTCTTCAAAAATAAAAATTTGCTGAAAATACTGTCATTGTGGTCAAAAAGCCATTTTTCACTGAAAAAATGTTTTGATAGAAATACTTTGGCCAGCTCTAGCAATAAAAATGACCGTTATTTTAAACTAACTGAACAACAAAATAAGAAAGAACAAAAATAAGGTCTCCATGAGAGCACAGAGTGCACAGAATATTCCAGCATCCTATTAAAATATTAAATGTTTCACCACCAGTGTACAAGGTTCAAATCAGCACATAATTTGTATCTTAATTTATATTTAGTGTTATTAATCAGTTTTTACAGCACTTTGGGGACAATTGCTGAACATTGTGAGCCAAATAATGGATAACTCCTTTGTGGGTAAACTAAGAAAGCAAAAGGGTTGCACCTTCTCCCTCACAGCTCACCTGCACTGGATCAGCAACTTTGTAGCCTCTCTGTGCTGCCCTCAAACACAGGGGCAAGAAAAAGAGAAGCACTCTGAGGTATTCAGTGTCTTAGGTCTTGTCACTGTGCCTGAGGAGGAATAAATATCAACATGAGTTTATGGGGATTATGCAGTTGAGATGCCTAATATGGTACCGTGATGGCATGTGTACCCCACACAGGCCCTGAAGGGGTTAATCTGAGCCTGAGAGGCCAAATAACATACCTTACCATACCAGTGAGAGAAAGCCAGGCTTAACTGATGATGAAGTCCAGCAAGTGAGGGGCTTGTGATCATAAAGCCAGGAATTTTGTAGCAGAAAGGGGCCGTAGAGAGAGAGGAGAGAGAGAGAGAGAGCCTGAACTCACTCTCAGGGGGGAGGAGGAAGCAGGGCAGGTATAGAAGAGATAGGAAGTGGTCCAGGGAGGCAGCAAGGAGTCTGTGGGAATAGACCTTTGCAGCCAGCCACAAGGTCCCGGGGCCAGAACCTAGAATAGAGGGAGGGCTTGGGTTCCCCTCCCAGTCACTGAGGAAAGTGAAGTGAAACCTCCTGCGATCAGGGGTGTAAGAACCATGGATCCCAGAGACAGATGGAAGACCTGCTGTAAGATCACTGGGCTGTAACTTGGTTGGACTCTCTAATACCCCAGAAGGGGAATCCATTTTGAAGCACTTGTAGGAGAGGAAGGTGATCAGGAACAGTCAACATGGATTCATCAAGGGCAAGTCATGCCTGACCAACCTGATTGCTTTCTATGATGAGATAACTGGCTCTGTGGATATGGGGAAAGTGGTGGACGTGATACATCTTGACTTTAGCAAAGCTTTTCATACCGTCTCCCACAGTATTCTTGCCAGCAAGTTAAAAAAGTATGGATTGGATGAATGGACTATAAGGTGGATAGAAGGCTGGCTAGATAGTCAGGCTCAACAGGTAGTGATTAATGGCTCAGTGTCTGGTTGGCAGCCGGTATGAAGCGGAGTGCATCAGGTTCGGTCCTGGGGCTGGTTTTGTTCAACATCTTCATTAATGATCTGGATGATGGGATGAATTGCACCCTCCGCAAGTTCGCAGATGACACTAAGCTGCGGGTACATGTAGATATGCTGGAGGGCAGGGATAGGGTCCAGAGTGACCTAGACAAATTGGAGAATTGGGCCAAAAGAAATCTGATGAGGTTCAACAAGGACAAGTGCAGAGTCCTGCACTTAGTACGGAAGAATCCCATGCACTGCTACAGGCTGGGGACCGACAGGCTAAGCAGCAGTTCTGTAGAAAGGGACCTGGGGATTATAGTGGATGAGAAGCTGGATATGAGTCAACAGTGTGCCTTTGTTGCCAAGAAGGTTAACAGCATATTGGGCTGCATTATTAGGAACATTGGCAGCAAATCAAGGGAAGTGATTATTCCCCTCTATTCGGCACTGGTGAGGCCACATCTAGAGTATTGCGTCCAGTTTTGGGGGCCCCACTACAGAAAGGATGTGGACAAATTGGAGAGAGTCCAGTGGAGGGCAACAAAAATGAGTAGGAGTCTGGGGCACATGACTTACAAGGAGAAGCTGAGGGAACTGGGCTTATTTAGTCTGCAGAAGAGAAGAGTGAGGGAGGATTTGATAGCAGCCTTCAACTACCTGAAGGGGGGTTCCAAAGAGGATGGAGCTAGGCTGTTCTCAGTGCTGGCAGATGACAGATCAAGAAGCAATGGTCTCAAGTTGCAGTGCGGGAGGTTGGATATTAGGAAAAATGATTTCACTAGGAGGGTGGTGAAGCACTGGAATGGGTTACTTAGGAAGGTGGTGTAATCTCCATCCTTAGAGGTTTTTAAGGCCCAGCTTGACACAGCCCTGGCTGCGATGATTTAGTTGGTGTTGGTCCTGCTTTGAGTAGGGGGGTGGACTAGATGACCTCCTGAGGTTTCTTCCAACCCTAATCTTCTATGATTCTAAGACTAAAGTGTGACGTGGCCAGAGGCCAAATTGCATGAAGAGACTCCACACACTGACAGAGCAACTGTCAGCAAGGGGCACCATCCGGGGAGACAGCTGCCATGTCTGGCCACAAGAAGGTACACACCTGTAGTGAGGGAACTTCTTTACAAGTACCAACAGCTCCTTCAGCTTTGTCTGTGTTGCCAGTTCCTAGCTATCTAGATTATAAAGGCTTCAGTGCAAGGACCATCCTTGTAATTTGTATTTGTACAGGTCCTAGCACAATGGAACCTTGATTCTGATCAGAGCCTGAAGGTGCTTCTGGAATGCAAATATATCATTGTTGTAATTAGACCCATAGGATCTCATATATATTATCCAAATAACTATATATGGAGATTAAATATTAAGAAAGACATTAAATGAATTTGACATTCAGTATACCAACAAGTTTTGCAATACATCAGAAGAGTGTTGTCATGAATACGTAAAATATTATGACCATTGCCATACCTAGCTAATTGCATTTGAAACATGCTGGCCATAAAATAATTAATTAGCAGTACAGAAAGGCATCATGATACCCAGCTATAAATACCAAACATAACTAATTATTTCAGTCATAAAATGATCCTGCCAAGTAATTTATAATGAAACTCTATGTTTAAAAAAAGTCTCTTTTTCCTCCATGCTTGCACAGACAATCTGTGTCGCTGAAGCTATTCCGTTTTGTGATATTGTCAGTATTCGTGGATACCAATTTGAACATAAACTAAAATGAAACTAATCTAGGATTTTCAATGTTCCTTAAGCTGTTTTGTGATTGTTGTGGAAAGGAGGTTTTTTGTGTGAGAAAAGGGGGGGGCTGGCGAGGGGGAAGCAGATTGGGGAGCTATCATCAATGCGAGCAGCCTGCAATCGTAGTAGAGACTGAAAATGAGTTTATTTCCTGACAAGTGTTTTGATGACATTCTGAAGAATGGAAGAAGATACTTTGCTAATTACTGTGGCTGTCACATGTTCAGTCATGATACTGTTTCATTAATGAGCAAAAATAAACTGCCTGTGTGAGGCAGTAATAGAATTAGAACTTCAGTGAACTATATCTATACCGGCAATTTGGACTCTCAAAAACATGTAAAATATGGGTGGATCTCTTCAGTTTGCCCTCTTCAGTAACATATCTGCTTTGTTTTCCCTCTTTCACAGTGTTTATCTGGCTCATTAGCTGGGTGTGTCAGGAAGTCTGCTGAGATCATAACGGAGTCCTATCATCTGGCTGGGATCTTCAATGAGCCCTCTGGTTTTGTCCCACCCTGAGGCAATCACTTGGCTTTTTGTGAAGCAGCCGCAGCCAACAAGGTAAAAGGTTCCATGGAAGAGGTTGTATATTCCTCTGGACTGTTCTTGTGAACTGAGGGATCAAGGCTGTGATGGGGTATCTGTTGTCAACAGGAAAAGGGCAGAGAGCTGAGATCTAGACTAGCAATTATTTTACTTGGGTGAAAAGAAAAAAAGGAGAATCGTATTTATATGATTATGATTTTGTATTAAATCAGTACCTTGGAAAATATACTGACTCCAGCTTCAATGAGGCATTGGAGTGGAAGACTTTCAAATTAATATCTAAGTGGGACTGGACATATTGTAAAGTAACAGCAAGACAATGTCTTAATAAGATTCCAGATTGAAAAATGGTGTTGAACTTGACTCCCTACACTTTGTGCATTAGGTTTACAGGGAGTTTCAACTCTATTCAGCTTTGCTAAATACGCAGACTTGGTTCTGTCATTAGGAGTGTGTTTTTACTCATTAAATGGAAGACTTGGAAGAAACCTTTGTCACCTTTATAATAAGTAAGCGATGTAAGTCATTCATATGTCACTTCTAGCTATCAGGTTGCCAAGAACTAGCTGTCAGTTTTTCTCTGAGGTGACTACTGTCTATTCCCATTATGGGATGTGCTCTGTTGGTGCTGCTGAACATTGGGAACTTCCTGGAAGACCGTGCCAGTTGAGGCTGCATGAGTATCCTCTCATCGCACCGGTATAACATGGCACCTCAGTTCCTTCTTTTCTGCAATTTGTTATGCGTGAGAAGACTTTCTCTCAATACACATTGCAGTTTCAGGGGATGTTTTTTATGAGCCTCTGGCTAACTTTTATAGTTAATTTGTATACCAGTTTCTCATTCTCTCTTGAGATATAAGAGAAGATTTTTTTCAGCTTCCTTGGTCACTTGAGACTCCCCCAAGCTCCTTTCCCTTATTTTCACTTCAATCCATGGGCTGTATGGACTTACTGGCAAGGTTAAGTATTTCTGAACCCTCCTTCAGATGCAGAAGGAAAAGAAAATATACAATAACCCACTCCTCCTAACCAGCAAGATGGGACTCCTTCTGGCTCAACATCTGATGATGATGTAGTCATCTCCTTATTTGTTTCACTTTCTAACAATTTCAGACAAATCCAGGAGTTGCTGAAATATATGGCAGAGTCTCTCGAATTGGAAACTTCAACTATCCTGGATAAGACGCACCAGCCCTTGAACATCCATGAGTCCAAAGAGAAAAAGCAAATTCATTCCATTAGCGCTGAGCTGCTTGACCCATCAGAGGACACCCTGTTGACACCAACACATCTAAAAAGAAAAGTCATCTTTATCAACTGATCAAATATGGATGCCAGTAGTTCCATTAATTTCCTACTGTTCTTCTCAAAACTTCAGTCTCACTCAGAAGAAATTAGACTTAATGTTTAATGTTGAGAGGACTTTGAGTTTTATTTGGATATGACTCAGACATATAGGATATCAGAGACTTTTTGTAGCCTTTAAGGATCAGCATAAAGAGGATGAATGTCACTTACACTATAAATACCTGTACATTTTGTTATATGTTAGGTAGAATGTCAGTACCCTACAGTCATGTCTCACTCTACCAGGGCTAAGGTGGCATCAATGGCATGCCATTGATGGTGTTTTCATCACAGAAATCTGTAGGGGTGCTATCAAGAGTTACATGCCAGTACAATCTTGTCTTGGCATTTAGATCTGATACAAGTTTAAGAGGGCAGTTCTTCAATCCTTGCTTAGTTACACCTCCTCAGTCTGCCCTCCTGGGGGCTGTACTGCTCAATTGACTTCTACAAGTGGGACTAGGCACAAGCCATTTGGTAGAAGGTACCAACCTATTACTTACCATAGTAACTACAGTTCCTTGAGAATGCTGCCTCTGCATATTTACACAACAAACCTGCCCACCTTCCTCTCAGTTCTGTTCTCATAATAAGACTCTTGGGTTTAGTGGAGAGAACTGAGACAGTTGTGGCTGCAGAGACATATTATAATCTTGGCTCTGATTGGTTGGTTTTCCAAGAGGGCAATCCTTATCAGAAGACCCCCAAAGCTCTGTAACACAGGCTGACATTGGGAATGGAGCGCACAAGTGTGAGTATACAGAAGCTACACTCTCAAAAAACCATAGTTACTATAATAAATCTTTCTTTTTCTCCCCCCTCCCAAAGACTATAGTAATAAGGGCTTATGATCTGTGCAAACAGTGATACATACTGCATTTAGTGAATTGATATGTATGCTATGGATAATATTTTCAACACCAAACAACATACAAATTAAAATAGCAATAGCCAGAGAATGTTTAGGTTTACCTTAGATTCAGTACAGGCAGGGCAGAGAAGAGCTCAGTTCACCTTATACACTGGTAAAGGTAGAGGGTCACTCCAGAATGGCCCTTCCAGTTGACTGAATCCCAATAATGGCTTCAGAGAATAATCTTGTCCAGTTATATTTCACTAAAACTTTGGTATGCATGGTGTGGTGTCTTGATGATGCAGATGTATGGGCAGGGGGTTGAAACAGAAGAAACAGGAGATCCTCAGGAATCCAGCAATGATACAGAAGACCCAATTTCCCTGCTCCTTGGAGAAAAAATACTTACCAGGCAGGCATTTCTAAGCTCTTGCACTTCAAAACAGACTATAATTATTGAGGAAATTAACTTCACAGCTAAAGATTGTGGCTTCATGATAATTTAGAGTGGGAAGGATGTTTTCTAAGCAATCTATTTTTTTTTCTTTTTGGTTGTCACTTAATGGCTTTCATTAAAACCAATAACAGAAATTGCTTCTCTTTAAATTTCCAACTGAGTCTCAGTTTAGTTGTTAAACTTTTTTTGAACAATATATTAGTATTATGCTCTAGTGACTTTCCTTATAAAAGAAATAAATCTCTTTTACAGTTTATTCTTTGCAGCACTGGAAACAGTGAAAAATATATATGATGTTGCTGACTTCTTGTTAAATAATTGTGGATGCCAACTCTAGTTGCCAGGCACAGTCTTTCCACTCAGATGCATAGCAACTTATTCAGGTCTTTTTTCTCCCTCCAAGGGAAGCAATACATTATCTTTGGAGTCAAGAGGAGGTTAGCAAACAGCAGAGACTTAAATTTCCATTACTAGCAAACTAGCTACCTCCTGCTTTTCCCAGTTCAGCCTGCAGCTAGAAAATATATTGACTTTCAGGAGAATTTGTCTTCATATTCATAAATTGCATGTTCTACATTTTAGTTGTTTGATAATGATAGTGGACAAAAGAAGGAATCAATAAATCATACTACTGTGCTCCCATCCACTCTGTTTGTCCTCTTTTATTAAAGTTTTAGATCAGCAAATCTTCAGATGGAAAATTGGAGACAGTCTGTAACTATAGGCCTGATACTTCTCTCATTCAAATTAGGGGGAGTTTTGCCACTGAGTTCAATGGAAGCAGGAGCAGGCCCTGTGTGAGGTCCTTACATTAAATGCTATAGGCCAAATTCTTTGGTCCTCACTCAAGCCAAATTCTGCCCTGCTTGGGTTAATGCGGTGTAAGGAGTGGAACATTTGAATTTCAGCTCATAGGGTTTCTTTGTAATTCTTCCTACCATGGTGGCAAAAGGAGGGTGTCTGCCCTCACCCTCCCGTTCCCTTGGGATATAGAGAGACAAGACATTTAATGAGAAACATAAGAACAAACCAGTAATCCTATTTCAAATGCATTGCCCTAAAATAAAACATTGAGAACATAGTAGAAAACATGTAAATAATTTTGCTAAACCAGGGACTGTCCCTCCTTAATGAGCAGGGTCATCTGGTTTCCATAATGTGAATACAAATGTAAACCAAAAAAACTTTCTAAATCATTTCAAAAGGAATAGAGCAATTAGATTTTTGCAGAGTTTCCGTACAATATGCTTGTGAAGGGAAGGAACCTACTGGGTAGCTTCTGAAAAGATCACATTGTCCTCTAGAAACTGTCTTTAAAAACAATTACTTGCAATCCTCTCTTTCGCTCCTTTTGATATGAGAACACTTCATCAAGAACAAAGCCACATCAGTTTTAAGAAATAACGTAAATGCAGTTTTGCAGAAATGAAAGATATGCTGCAGAATACATAAAAAGTGAACACCATAGCAACCCAAACAGAATTACATGAATACACAAAAATAAAATGAAAATAGCATTTTGCATTATAAGTTCACATTTACTGAAGCAGTAAAGAGTCACATGACCTTGCATCTAGCCCTTTGGATAGCAATAGAACTTGCTTTGACAGCCAGCCCAAAAAATATTGCACTTTCACAGAGAAGAGAGAGTGCTAAAATTGATCCAGGCCTTGAGTAATGCTGATGAAACTTGTTTGTGTGTGATGACTATTTCAATCAAAATGTGATATGTAAAAGCTTTTATTTCAACAATCCCAACCCATGTATGTTATCAAAATGGAGATTGGAAGTTGGGAGGGAGGGGGAATACTAAATATCTGTGTCTGACTTCCAACTTTGATTGTCTGTGAGATTGTATGCAGGATTGTAGTCACTATAAAAGACAAATATTTTAGAAACATGTAAATTGTCACAACTCATAAGGTAACACTGAAGGCATGAGGCTTGTGCATGCTTAAGCGGTGGAGAGTCTTACACCAGAGACCAGATTTATATAGAAAACAATTCTAGAAAACCATACGCAAGAAAAAAGTCATGAGTGGAGACTGTAGTTTTGGAATGTGTGCATCACTTAATACATAATTGTGTTGTGGTCACAAACATTGCTGAACGTCAGACAATATGGCCAGCAGTTAAATTCCTGAAATAGTGTGGCAAAATCTTCTTGTATTAGAAAGCTTTCTATCATGTACTTCTAAATCGCATTACCATGTGTTTTCACTAAGATGGTACAAACCCTGTTAATATGGTTGCTTGTTTTGTACGGGATTAAAAAGAGTAAATAGTTGATATATTGCTCCTCTGGGAAAAAAAGTTACACCTTTCCTGTTTTGTTCACAACAACTTTCAACCTGCTCTCCCTGGGAAAGTGCAAGATGACACCAGGAAGAAAATAGATTGGACATTGTTGCTGTGGTGTAATTGGAGTTGAAGGGGCTGTTGCCTAAAGATGGGCCTAAAAGAAAATTCTGAAGTCCCCAAATGTTCAGGATGTTCAGATCCAGATTCAAAATTAGCTCAACCCTTCCCTATCTCTGTTGGGATGGGACAAAACCCTACAGCTGAGCACCCTGGACTTTGGATCTGGATTCAGATCCAAACTATGTTCAGTCCCATATCCACTGACATCTACAAATCACTCCTTCCTGGTCTTCCCCCATCAGTCCAATGTTGTATACTCTTTGGAAACTCTACCAATTTGCACTGTGTATTCACACACAAACATTTTTATGTGCCTTAGCTGTGCTGCAGAGGCTACGTACTGAGATGAGAGGATAGGACTCATTCAATCTTGAAGACAATAAGGTTCTACTTATGAAGCTGGGTGTGAGAGATGACTCTCTGTGGATATCTGATTTATAGTAACTATAGTTATAGTATAGGGCTAGAATTTCTTTACAAATAGACTTTTCTGGTGGAGGTGCTATAAATGCCTTGCAATGGCTTGTTTAGTTAAATTAGACAAATTATGTCTCCTAAAATGAATTGAGCGTCATTACAGATTACAAATAGTCTTCCTGACAGTATTATGGAATATGTATCACATACCTTAGAGAGAAAAAGAAATCTCAACTGGAGTCAAACTGGCTGTGTTATCCTAGGGTTTGATGCAGAGACCAAGCTGCGAATTGGAAAGTGAATTTAAAAAACAGGCCAGACAGCCTAGGTTAACAAACAACTGGTCACATGGCCAGGAGCTGTGAATGGAACTAATAAAGCATGATTTGGCTACATTTTGCTGGAACACAGAGACCAGGAGAGTCTTCCGACAACTTAGGCATCTTTTCCAAGCTGTAATCATAAAGTCTTTGCAGACAGACAGTGCCTGGACTCTGTTCAGACTCTGGAGGCTTAAAGCACATAGGATCCAGAGGCTGGACCCTGTTGCAGTAGTCTGGTAAGTGGCCAAGAGGGGACACATGACAGGAGCTGTGACACTTTGCTTTTATTATGTTCTCTCTATTTATTTTTTTATGAGTTAAACTTCCCTTTAATTAAAACAAACTGAACTGGATTCCAGTAAATTATGTTGGGGTTAATCACTACTAGACTTTTTAAAAGAACCTTTTCACAGTCTGACTTTAATGGAGTCAGAAAGCTGAGCTTGAGACTTCAGTGAATTAGGTGCAGACATAGTGATGCCCATCCTCTGAAGGTGCTGCTGAAACTGAACTATTCTCTCTCAGCTATTTATAGAGAACCCATTGCCATTGTACCTAGGACGGAATCTAAAACAAATTCCTAAAGACCACAAGCACCACAGATAGAGTGGCTTTAGATAATAGAAAACCTGGGTTGGAAGGGTCCTCAGGAGATCATCTAGTCCAACCCCCTGCTGAAAGCAGGACTACTCCCCAATTTTTACCCCAGATCCCTAAATGGCTCCCTCCAGAATTGAGCTCACAACCCTGGGTTTAGCAGGCCAATGCTCAAACCACTGAGCTATCCCTCCCCCCAAGGCTTTGATATGTTTTCTAGAACTGGACTAAGACCACCAAGTCATTGCACATAGACCAATGAACAGTTAACAAATGGAAAATTTGAGGATAATTTGGAATGGATTTCAACTGGTGAGCTAGAGAGAAAAGTTTCCATATCCCACCACATGTGGAAACCTACCACATTTCCTTAGCCAGGTTACATAGGTGCTGGACCTAGGACTGCTGCTGCACCCCCTGGCTTGAAGTAGTTTCCATTATATACAGGGCCTACAGTTTGGTTCAATGGCTGTCAGCACCCCCACTATACAAATTGTTCCAGCACCCTGCCATGTTATTAACCTTTTGTACTGGATATGAATTAGGTTGTCAAGTGTATAGTACTGGGAGATATTTGACCAAGTCGAAACAGCAGACTGGACTTCTACATAGAATGCTTCTGCCGATGTTCACGGGCTGAAATTGTGGAAAAGCAGCATCACTTGCCCCATAACCTCAGCCGTGCAGAATGCCATCCACAGTGCCATCCACAGCCTCAGAAACAACTCTGACATCATAATCAAAAAGGCTGACAAAGGAGGTGCTGTTATCATCATGAATAGGTCGGAATATGAACAAGAGGCTGCTCGGCAGCTCTCCAACACCACTTTCTACAAACCATTACCCTCTGATCCCACTGAGAGTTACCAAAAGCAACTACAGCATTTGCTCAAGAAACTTCCTGAAAAAGCACAAGATCAAATCCGCACAGACACACCCCTGGAACACCGAGCTGGGATATTCTATCTACTATCTAAGATCCATAAACCTGGAAATCCTGGGCGCCCCATCATCTCAGGCATTGGCACCCTGACAGCAGGATTGTCTGGCTATGTAGACTCCCTCCTCAGGCCCCACGCTACCAGCACTCCCAGCTACCTTTGAGACACCACTGACTTCCTGAGGAAACTTCAATCCATCAGTGATCTTCCTGATAACACCATCCTGGCCACTATGGATGTAGAAGCCCTCTACACCAACATTCCACACAAAGATGGACTACAAGCCGTCAAGAACACTATCCCCGATAATGTCACAGCTAACCTGGTGGCTGAACTTTGTGACTTTGTCCTTACCCATAACTATTTTACATTTGGGGACAATGTATACCTTCAGATCAGCGGCACTGTTATGGGTACCCGCATGGCCCCACAGTATGCCAACATTTTTATGGCTGACTTAGAACAACGCTTCCTCAGCTCTCGTCCCCTAACGCCCCTACTCTACTTGTGCTATATTGATGACATCTTCATCCTCTGGACCCAGGGAAAAGAAGCCGTTGAGGAATTCCACCATGATTTCAACAATTTCCATCCCACCATCAACCTCAGCCTGGTCCAGTCCACACAAGAGATCCACTTCCTGGACACTACAGTGCTAATAAACAATGGTCACATAAACACCACCCTATACCGGAAACCTACTGACCGCTATTCCTACCTGCATGCCTCCAGCTTTCACCCTGACCACACCACACGATCCATCATCTACAGCCAAGCTCTGCGATACAACCACATTTGCTCCAACCCCTCAGACAGAGAAAAACACCTACAAGATCTCTATCAAGCATTCTTACAACTACAGTATCCACCTGCAGAAGTGAAGAAACAGATTGATAGAGCCAGAAGAGTTCCCAGAAGTCACCTACTACAGGACAGGCCTCACAAAGAAAATAACAGAACGCCACTAGCCGTCACCTTCAGCCCCCAACTAAAACCCCTCCTACGCATTATTAAGGATCTACAACCTATCCTGAGGATGACCCAACACTCTCACAAATCTTGGGAGACAGGCCAGTCCTTGCCTACAGACAGCCCCCCAACCTGAAGCAAATACTCACCAACAACCACATACCACACAACAGAACCACTAACCCAGGAACCTATCCTTGCAACAAAGCCCGTTGCCAACTGTGCCCACATATCTATTCAGGGGACACCATCACAGGGCCTAATAACATCAGCCACACTATCAGAGGCTCATTCACCTGCACATCCACCAATGTGATATATGCCATCATGTGCCAGCAATGCCCCTCTGCCATGTACATTGGTCAAACTGGACAATCTCTACGTAAAAGAATAAATGGACACAAATCAGATGTCAAGAATTATAACATTCATAAACCAGTCGGAGAACACTTCAATCTCTCTGGTCACGCAATCACAGACATGAAGGTTGCTATCTTAAAACAAAAAAACTTCAAATCCAGACTCCAGCGAGAAACTGCTGAATTGGAATTCATTTGCAAATTGGATACTATTAATTTAGGCTTAAATAGAGACTGGGAGTGGCTAAGTCATTATGCAAGGTTTCCCCTTGTTTTTTCCTAACCCCCTCCCCCTCCCAGACGTTCTAGTTAAACTTGGATTTATGCTGGAAATGGCCCACCTTGATTATCATGCACATTGTAAGGAGAGTGGTCAGTTTGGATGAGCTATTACCAGCAGGAGAGTGAGTTTGTGTGTGTATGGGGGTGGGGGGTGAGAAAACCTGGATTTGTGCTGGAAATGGCCCACCTTGATTATCATGCACATTGTAGGGAGAATGGTCACTTTGGATGAACTATTACCAGCAAGAGAGTGAGTTTGTGTGTGTATGGGGGTGGGGGGGGGGTGAGAAAACCTGGATTTGTGCTGGAAATGGCCCACCTTGATTATCATGCACATTGTAGGGAGAGTGGTCACTTTGGATAAGCTATTACCAGCAGGAGAGTGATTTTGTGTGTGTGGTTTTTGGAAAAAAAGGGGGGGGGTGAGAAAACCTGGATTTGTGCTAGAAATGGCCCACCTTGATTATCATACACATTGTAAAGAGAGTGGTCACTTTGGATGGGCTATTACCAGCAGGAGAGTGAGTTTGTGGGGGAGGGGGGCGGAGGGTGAGAAAACCTGGATTTGTGCTGGAAATGGCCTAACTTGATTATCATACGCATTGTAAGGCGAGTGATCACTTTAGATAAGCTATTACCAGCAGGAGAGTGGGGTGGGAGGAGGTATTGTTTCATGGTCTCTGTGTATATAATGTCTTCTTCAGTTTCCACAGTATGCATCCGATGAAGTGAGCTGTAGCTCACGAAAGCTTATGCTCAAATAAATTGGTTAGTCTCTAAGGTGCCACAAGTACTCCTTTTCCATTTGACCAATTGTTTATTTAGTAGGTAATCTCCTGTGATCTGTTTGCTATCCCTTATAATCATTTAAAATATATCTTTCATAGTTAATAAAGTTGTTTTTGTTTTTGCTTTATCTAAACCAGTGAGTTTGAATGAAATGC